GTCAGCGCACTCCCCTGTGTTGTGGTGAAATGGGGGGGGGCTTTCTGCTTAAACATACATCTTCCAGAGCCAGCCCAATCCCCAGAAAGATTGGTGAACCCTGATGTACCCCAGATCTCCAGCTGGGGACGGGGAGGTATAAACGCCTAATGCCTAAGCTAAGGTCTTCCTAAATCTGAAAGTGTAATAAAGTTGTGGCCAATTTTAATCCCATAACACATTGTCATGAGTCATTATTCCACCCAGGTGTCACCTGGGGTCAGGGGGTCTCCGGGTGGGCACATAAATAACAATTGCTAACCAGCAATTGACAATGCTTTTCTTTGGATAGTTAAGTACAACATGCTGCTTTTTCTCTATTCCATTTAAAATATTTTTGGGGGGAAACCAGAACAACAGAAAGGAACCAGAAGGACATAAAATTCACCCCAGGTCAATTATATTCCTACAATAACTATGTTGTTGAAATAGCAGAAAGAAACAATCTGAGAGCAGAGCTATAGCATATATTTAAAGCACACAACCTCTTCCAAAGAATCCTGGGAACTGTAATTTTCCCCTCACAGAGCTACGGTTCCCAATACCTTTAAAAAAACCTAGCTAGGCCTGATGGGAGTTGTAGTTCAACATTATCTGGAGGTCCAAAGGTTCCTCACACCTGCATTAGTACAACAGAAAAATGGTTGATCATATTCCTGTATTCTGAAAATACATGCTAATACTTGCCCAAACATCCCTATGTATGATTAGTTATTTCAAAAGATGCTGTGCACCAGATAATTAGAGGACATTTCTGTGGCAGGTACTCTTGAAACTGCTGAATTAAAAGAAGAAGAAGTTAAAGTGGCATTCTTAAAACAGTTGGTGACTGTTTTCTATATATATTTTCATATATTAGCTCAGCTGTTTGTTCAGCCATCAAAAGCAAACCAAGGAAGGAAAATGGCTGCACAGAGTGCTAATCCTGCGATGACTTTTTAAAAAAGAGAGGTATAAATATATGTTAACTGAACCTTACATTTCAATGTGATAGCGGGAGCAGGCCAGTTTCAATCATGGAAGCATTTACCCTTAGAAAAATGTAAATGAAGCTAAAATGGCAAGAAAGCATCCTGTGCATATTCAAATGAGAAACAAGCACACAGACCAAGCTGGAGATGAAAACATAATGTTTTGTGCTTATTAATGCAAGCTGTCATGGCACCAGGTTTTTCCTCTCACCCCCCCTCCCCCTCGAGACTCTTCTCCAAGTGGAAGGTAGGCGAATGTCTCATTATTCAAATCAATGCAAGCTATCTGGCAGCGAAGTCTCAACAAACAATCAAAATATTTATTAAGGATTTTAATATGGAGAAAAGGTCAAATACATAATTTGATCTGATTTTCTCTTCACAAATAATATCTGACATATGATTTTTAAAAAAAAAAAATGACCTGAAAATGAGGAAGAGATGATCAAAACAAACAAATAAACCAAAAAGAATCTCTTCGCAAACGTTTCTTGCAATGGCCTCAATTTACTGAATAATGTAATGCTTCTTATTGCAAAGCACGGAGTCACTGGAACTCAAAGAGTTGATCTGGTGGAGTGGAGACCAAACTAGACATTAACTGGAGATCACCCATCAGTTTTCCCCAAGTGTCTCACTCTGGAAATGGACTGTGGGTGGGGGTAGGGAGATGTGATTTAATCCACATTTAAAGGCAACCATGCCTAATCTGCTGTTTCCAAAACAATCTACAAACTGAAACACCCCTCCAAATCTTGCCCTGTAGTTCCGCAGCCACGTAATATGTACAAAAATGCATATATATGGGTAAAATGTGCATAAAATGCATATATTAGCAAAAATAAGCAAACATGTTGTGCTGCCAAATATAGCAGTTCTTTCCAAGGATATCAGGACGAAAGGAATGAGGAGGTGGAAGGGGAACCAAAACAGTTTTATTAACAAATAAACAGCAGGCATACAAAGCACAACATAAAACATACCCGACAGGGGCTACCCAATCTCGCCTTCAGCTGCCAGGAGCCCCAGGTAGAGCAGCAGGAGAGAGACCCCCAACCATCGGTCTCCCAGCATCAGGTCCTTTGATCGGGGCAGAAGCTCATGGGGGCCCACCCATGGCTTTTATAGCCTGTCTTGGTGTAATCAAGTGCACCTGGCATTACTCATGATTAGCCCAGGACCCTGAGATGGAACTAATACAAAGCGGCTGACAGTATCCCACTACCTGCAGCCAGGCATCCAGGCAGCACTTGCAACACAGAAGAACCCAAGAAACTCCAGACAGGTGTGTGAAACACAAGAATCAAACTGGGGATGTTAAAGGGCTTGCCACCTAACTCCTCGAAATACAATTGTCTTCCGCATTTCCACTACACATGCACCATCTTACGGGGAATAATATAAAAAATGCATTGTATTATGGAAAATATGCTCTGTAAAAATGTGTATATTGGGGGAACTTACACTAAAATGATGATGAATTTTCTTAAGGGCTTTTAAATTCTAAAAGTCTCAAGCTGGTGTGGAAATGTGGAGAACTAAAGAGTGGAAAAATGAGAAGCAGAGAAGCCCAGACTGGCAGTCACATATCTCTAACCACCTCCCACCTTTGTGTAAAAATAGCTTCAGGCTTTGAATTGGGGCTGCAGTGCTGAGAAGGAGGAGTCACATTACTCTTGTCCAGGAAGATATTCATTATTAAGGGAGAAAAAGACAGGTATGATATGCTTATTCACTGCTATGCTTTCCTTTTCATGGCTAATAGTAGCTCTGGAGGAGTGGATTTGCACTAAGAAATTGCTATATCCCAGATCCAAATTGCCCTTTGCAATAGTTGCTCTTAAGAAACCTGCCCCCCCCCAAAAGATGGTGAGATATCTATTTTTATATATTTTTATTCACTAAATTTGAATCTTGCCCTTTCTTCCAAAGAAGCCCAGGGTGGCATCTAGTTTAGTGCTTGTTCTTAGACTGAGGTAAACCCAACATGCATCAGTTTCAGCACCTCTCAGGTGGGCACCATTGCCATCATAAGAGAACAAGGGAGGCGTTCATGGTGAGTTCCGGCAACTCTTTTTCTAGGAAAATATCACTGTTCCAACCTAGTCACATGATAGTTAGAAGGATAACTAGGATAACTCCATATATTCCGCCCTGAAATCCTTAGTGGGAGAAATCTGGATACGAAAGGAATAATCATCAACCAACTGCTCAGCCAGTAGACATGCTGCTTTTTAAACTGCTCACTGGGTTATATATTTGGCTGTGGGAGCTTTGGCTATGAAAATTGAAAAGTGCTCCAGCTGTGTGTTTGTTTGTTTTCTCTTGCATATGTCCATATCTCTTCTTTGGGATCCCTGCCAAAATTGTCAAGGTGACCCAATCCGGAGAAAGTTAGCCTTACTTATTAGTTCATCAAAATCAACGGGGCTAGCTACTCACTCTTAACTGATGTTACCAGGATGTCACAGCAACCCCTGAAGCACAGTCCTCTCTACTGCCACTCTGACGCAACATCAAAAGCCCTGAAAAAAGAAGTGACTGTGGTCCATGCAATACCTCCTTCTTAATTCCAATTTCACCACAGTTTGGGGAAATGTGACAGTCGGCACAGAGATGAGTCAGATTGAGCCATATGATTCCTCCCACAAGTTATTGGGTTTCCGTCATGCTGACAGCAGAGTTCAGATAATATCAGAACAGATCACATAAGCCACTCTACACATTCTGTACTGTGAAGTGTTAAGACAAAGGTGGTAGAATGATGAGTTGTATCCTTCTGACTGCAGGTCAGGTAATAATTTTTTGAATGCTCCTCTACATCTACAAGGACACGGGTGGGCTTGGGCTTGCCCTTGCTCTTGGGCTTGCCAATCAGAAGGTCAGCGGTTCGAATCCCCACAATGGGGTGAGCTCCCGTTGCTCAGTCCCAGCTCCTGCCAACCTAGCAGTTCGAAAGCACACCAAAAGTGCAAGTAGATAAATAGGTACCACTCTGGTGGGAAAGTAAACGGCATTTCTGTGCACTGCTCTGGTTTCGGTGTTCCGTTGTACCAGAAGCAGCTTAATCATGCTGGCCACATGACCCGGAAACTGTCTGCGGACAAACGCAGGCTCCCTCCCTGTAAAGTGAGATGAGTGCCGCAACCCCAGAGTCGTCTGCAACTGGATTTAACTGTCAGGGGTCCTTTACCTACATTTAAAGTTTCCTGGATCTCAGGAGGGGGGCACCCTGTGGCCCTCCAGATGCTGTTACCATCACCCTTGGCCACCAGGCCCATCCTAGTTAGGAATCCCATTGCCAGTCCAGGGTAATCCAGCCATACCCCCATGCTGCTATCTTTCAAGGTCATCTCCAAACCTTATGACAGAAATTTAAATGCCCATACCTGAATACCTCGACTTGGATAATGGAACTGTGTTCTTCTTGCATTTTTTAAAAAATAAAGACACTATTGTCACACTCTTCGAAAATTCCTCCCTAGGGGATTACCGTGGTTTACATTATAATGTGTCCTTAAGAAGATGAAAACTTTTGAAGGTGCATTTCTGCAAACAAGTGTGCTTTCATACCTAAAAATATCTCCCTGCTGTCAGAGATTTTTAAGACCTAAATCCTTATTTGTCATTCATGAAACTCTATGTGCAATTATACTGTAGAGGAATTAAATCCTGCAGCCTCCATGGAAAACCTGACAAATATATAAAGGGGAAGAGGGACCACCAGCATTCTAATATGAAAGAGCAAAAGTAACCAACTGGTATACACCTTGTGGAATTGGGATTCAGCCTGTGATTCTGTTCCCCCGTGATTCCCAGCAACTGGTATTCAGATGCATATTGCTTCCAAGAGTAGAGGAAGAATGCAGCCATCATGAAGAGCAGCCATTGATAGACTTATCATCCAGTAAAATGCTGATGTCAGGATGCTGTCCGCAGCTCCCGGCTGGTTGCCCAGAAAAATATAAAGCCAAGGGAAAGTTTCTTACAGTCCTTTTTTATTTCAAACTGTACAGAGAGAGGTTATACAACCAGCCTCTTGGATAATGGCATTGTCCCAGGAGAATTTCCACCCCCTGTCTCTCCCACTTCCTCATTCGTCATCATCATCACCTCCTCCTCTATGGATGCCACTAAGTGCCCTCTGTCTTTGAGCTCTTTGCTCTTCTACTTTTAAGGCTTGCCGGGTTCTGGGAGATGGTGGGTCTGGGATGCTTTCTGGCTCTCCCATGATTTCCCAACTTTCCCCCTCATCTGCCTCTGAGCTGCTACCTCCCTCAACCCCCTGTTGTAGGGTCAGGATGGGGAGGGGGTCTCCACCATTCCTCCTCTGCTCAGTCCCTGACAATTAGTTTTCTTTAACAGTGGTAGCAGGTTTTCAGATTATACAGAACCTTCTTCAGGCTTTGATTATGAGAGCAAAAAATGAACATCCAGTAGTCTAGATAGAAACAACTGGGTAGTCAGGCTGATGGTTACTTGGTTGCAGAAGTTTACTGGCCATTGCTGTTGTCATGGAGTTAGTCTAAGTTGAATGCAAACATGCCATTCTGATGTCATGTGTGATGTCACAAAGCGGATATCCTTTAAGTCTTGGTAAAGCCAAAAACAGTTAACAGTCAGACTGACAGCCAAAGACTTCTTTGTTGTCAGACAGTCCCACTTCCTCATTTGTCAACCTCATCACCTCCTCTACGGGTGCTGGTTAGTGTCGGAAATATAAGGATTGATAGTAGTTGTTAATTCTTTCAGAGTTGGATCCCTTTATTTTAAGACCAGTATCCAGTTGAAGTTGGCATCGTGGGGCAGAGGCACATATCTGACTTCCCAACAGCTGAGTCTCTGTTGGAAGAGGAAGAGAGGGAGGGTCAAGGCAGCTGGAAGGTTGGCATGGTGCAAAACTACTAATAGTAGTGCCAGATTGGCTCTGCCAGTGTGTTTGCACCATGCTGACCTCTCTGCTGCTTTGCCTCTCCCCTTCCTGTTAAGAAGCTGCAGCTCAGCTATCAGTAGCTTAAGTAAGCATCCCACCCTCACAAACAGTTGCTACTGCTGTAATCAAATAGTATCAAATAGCACCACAAGCCTAATCTGAAAGTAAACCATACCAGTTCTTCACCACTACGACCACATTGAGCATTGTATCTGATGGTGGCTTGGTTACTTGGCCTACACTGTGCCATACAAGGAGCATATGGGCAAACAAAATTCATCAGGCCAGAGGTGACTGCCCAACAAGACATACATTAAATAATAGAGCCTCTAGATAGTTCAAGGCAGACCATAACTTAGCATCACAATGGAGCTAATGCAGTCTGAACTGAAGCTGATACATTCTCAGAAGAAATGGAGGCATGAAATTGCTGAATTAACCTTTTGCTACACTGAATTAGCTATGTCATCTATCATTGCAGTGGTAGGGTGTGTGTGTGTGTGTGTGTGTGCATACAGTACTATTCCGCTGAGACAGAATCAATTTTTTTCCTTGTTAAATCAAATGACTATCATAGTCAAACATGCTATGTTAATATTAAATCAAATATGTGTATGAAATCTAACTATATAATCCTAAAAATATTCTGAGTTGTGTGTAGGTGCACTGGACATGAACTTATCAATGTTTAGTATTTTTAAGTCCCTTTGATTGCAATGAAAGCATGGAAGATATCTGTAATCTCACTGAAACCAACAGGAATTCAAAGCACTCTTCTCCACAATTTTCAAGCTGTCATCTCCAGAAATAGGGTGATGTCAGGGACAGGAGGGACACGAGGAGGAGGGGGCTGTGGGCAGAGAGGACAGAGGAGGAGGATCTAGGGGAAGGGGCCAATAATTTGTTGGTTCTGTGCCACCCATGCAGCAGCTGCTGGTTGTGGAAGAAGAAGGGGGTCAGGAGCAGGAGACAGGGCAGGCAGAGACAGAGAGAAGGAGGAAAGAGAAGAGCTGCAGAAGGTCCTGGGACCAGGAGAGCCTGCAGAGCTCTGGGAGAGGGTTGTGTCTGAGGAATTCTCTGAGTCCCCCCCCCCATTGTCTCTCTGTTCAAGAAGAGGCTTGAAGTGAAGGGAACAGCTTGATCTGCTGTTGAGGTGGAGCCTCTGAGGGCTTGAGCGCACCACGTCAGCCAATGGGGGTTGAGAAGGAATGGGGGTGGAGCTAGGCTGTTGCTCCAACTGTCTGAGCTAGGGCCCAGGTCTGCAGTCATGGGTTGTCTAGGCAACTAGTTAGTGGGGAATAATGCTGTGTATATTACTTGAACTTTAGGAGCTGATGAAACTGAGTGCTTTGTCAAGAAAGAATTAATTCCCCATAGCTTCAGACACCTCTCAAGACATCATCGCCAAACTCAACATGAGGTTTCCTGAGGGCGACAGTAATTCTCAACCTTCAGATGCCAGCTGCCATTTTGAATCAAGATGGTGGCCCAAATATGACTTTGGCATGACTCTGCCCCCTTTTTGGCACGAATCATCACCAAACTTAGCACAAGGATTCCCAAGGTGAGGGTGACAGATGTCATCAATGTTTAGATTCTGGGCACCATTGTGAATCAAGGTGGCAGACCAAACTGTGACTTTGGCAGGCCTTTGCCTGATTTTTTGCACGACAGGTCCAAACTCACAAAAAATTGCACTATTTTAAAATCACAATATATTTTGTGCTGAAAAGGGTTTGGAGCTGCTGTAACTTTATGCTGCCTTAATTTATACTGTCTTCCTTTATGCCAGTGTATTGTGCATTGGGATTTTCCCTAAGTGAACACCATATCTAGAACAAATCCATATTTAGGCATGCCTCAATAACGTGTAACTAGTTGAGCAAGAATGTGGATGTGACAATATGCACATCAGGATGGATAGCTTATTCAAAGCAATGCAGCATGCACAGAATGCATCCTAATCGTGAACACAGATTCAATTTCAATTTGTTCTTGGATAAACTTGTTTATGCTGGTGGATCTCCAAAGCTGGACATTCTTTCAAAAAAAGAAAAAGATTTTTGACTGTCTCTATTTTGTATTCATTTAGGAGTTCATTTTTCTCCAGTCCGATACTGAAATAGCTGAATGGTAGAATGTTTGATGCTGGAAATTCATTTTTGGTTATTTAATTATGGATGCAAAGGCATTGTTAGGGGAAGAATATTTTATGTCAAGCTTTTATATGATGACTAAAGGGCGGATTGTTCAAACGCCTTTTAAAATAAATGCTTAATGAAATAAAACTTCCTTTTGTACTTGAGTGACAATCTGCTTTTTCCTTGTTTAATCTGCATAATATATTGCTTAGGGTTTGTGTCTTCATAAACAGCCAGCATCAAAACTAACAACAAAGAAGTCTTTGGCTGTCAGATATGTTTTCCTTCCCTACTCCCCATGTTCCCCTCATCCATTTTTATTTTTTTATTTAGTGCGTGAGATTTCTGGAATTTTAATTTTCCTCTTCTATTGATCTCTGTTGTACATTCATAGAAATTCAATAATTAATTAAGTGATTTCTGTGTCGTATGCATGCACAGATGCTAAGCAGATCTGGATCTGATCAGTGCCTTGGGCAGGGGTCCTCAAACTATCTGGCCTGCCAGGCTCCTTAACCCAGCCCATCCAGGAATTACAGAACCTGCCACTGTCTAGCGGGTCTATGTCATAGCTGTCAACCGTCCCTTATTTGGGGGGAAATTCCCTTATCCCAGCGCCGTGTCCTGCTGCTGTCCCTTATTGATGATGTCCCTTAAATTTCCCGGGTTTCAAAGGAAGCAGCTCCTCTCCCTCCCTCCCTGCCGGCCAGGGAGGAGGGAGGTTCCAACTGTGTTGCTTGGCTGCGTTGCTCACCCAATAAGGAGTCTAAGAACGACTGGGGGGTGGAGCTTGCATGCCTTGTGCTGTTCAAATCGGCCGTGTTGCCTGGGGACTCGCCTTTGCTCAGCGCTTCCCAGTGGAGAGGTGACGGTGGTTTTTCTTGCTGCACCCTCTTTGCCATTTTGCTGTGCTTTGGGAACCACCACTTGAGGCTTCGTTTGGCGACTGGGCTGGCTGGGCTTTCTGCCTTTGGCTCGGGAGCTGGTTGACTAAAATCCCTTATTTTGGCTGTTGGTCCCTTATTTTCAAATCTGTAAGTTGACAGCTATGGTCTATGTGTGTTTCCATTCTCCCACACACACACTGCATGCAGGGACCAGAACGTACGCCAGGAGCCCCATGTGAGGCGATTGCAACAAATGCATCACAGAGGAGAGGAAAGGAGAGGAGGGAGGGTGCGCGAGCATGTGAGGGAAGTGGAAAGGAAAGGAAGGAAGAAGCAAGTCAGCGACGTCACATGCGCCATCGTGAGGAGCCCTTTGCTGCCATCTGGAGAAGGAAGGGAAGGGAAGCTTCGGCAAGGCCTGAGGTAAAAACATGCACACGCACACTCACCCGCCTATTCTTTCACCCCAGAGGAGTTATTGGCTGGGCTTGTGGTGGCAGCACTCCTGGGGTGAGTAGCCTAGCCTGCACTGGGAGGGACGGCTTTTACTTTTACCTCAGCCGAGGCTCTGTTCTCATTTCTCCCCCCCCCCCCCCCGTGCGGCGGTTAGTATTTTGTGAAGTGGCAAACAAGAAAACTGAACATCACAAGTGTTATGTACTGAAGTTCTCACCCTGGGCCAGCGGGGGGATACTGTAGATAGTTATGCAAATAAGGGATCGAAAGTGACATTCAGTGATTGGATAGTTTTAGAAAATTGTTACAGTTACGTTGTACTGGAGCTCTATATAAGCAGGCTGACTGAACCCTTCAGTTCAGTTCTGTTCTGGCCTGTGAATAAACAAGAGCTGTTTGAAGAATCGCTCTGTTGTCTGATATGTTCACCCACAACTTAACAACAAGAAATCAAACAAGGTTATCCTCAACATAGACAATTTTCTCCAAATTCACATTGTGACTGGTAAGAGGGCACTGACATATTGCTGTTATCATAGAAATTCATTATTGCTGTTATATTATCATTAGCCAAAAGCAGGCCCATACTTCCCACTGAGATACTTATAAGCTTATGTTGATTAAAATCGTTCTTCATTTTAAATATTGCATTGTTTTTTCCTGTTTTTTGTGCACTACAAATAAAATACGTGCAGTGTGCATAGGAATTCGTTCATATTTTTTTCAAACTATAGTCCAGCCCCCAACAATGTCTGAGGGACAGTGAACTGGCCCCCTGTTTAAAATGTTTGAGAACCCCTGGCCTTGGTAAACTAAAAATTCTGCTTTGATCTCCATGGTAGAAAGGTGGGGTATACTAATAATAAATAAAACCAGCTTTCTTATAACCAGGACAACCTGGCAGAAGTCTCAATGCATTGCACTCCAGGCTTGATGATGCCTGCAATTTCCCCAAATTCAGGACATTCAACACAGGTACAAAACCACAATTTGTATTTCCACTTAATAAATGCACACTTTCAATTTTATCCCAGCATGAGTCCACACCTCAAAAATATTGATCATATTTCTGAATTATTTTCAATTCTGGACATGGGATGAATGAGCAAGCACCAGGGATTTCCTCTCCTGTTTCCATTTTTGTCAGATTTCTCTGACATCCCTAATTGGGGCCAACATTTTTGGTTTCAAGGGCAACTGGATGCCTGGTCTTTTGCATCCCCACCTTTTCCATAAGTTTTGTAAGGTGGTAGAAATGGGATTGGGAGCAGGAAAGAAAAGATTTGAAGGTAGGTCAAGGTTGATAGCAAAACATTACCAGAAAGGATTACGGAGAGCCATTTCAGAAAGTCATATTTTCAGTTGCATTTATGATATTGCTATTTGCCATACTTTAGGTGTGATTAAACTTTGCCATGTGTAGAAAAAAAATTCTTCCCAAGTCTCTTAACTGCAGAAACAGCAGCCAGTGTGTTTATCAGGAAACCTATTGCAAGTCATCAATAATGCTGTTAATAACACCTCATGTGTTTTCACCTTGTCCCTGCACTGAACCGAGAAACAGAATTATCCAGGAAGACATCAATGCTATTGTTGCAGCTAAATGGGGGCCATTTTTAAACGGCAATGAGGAACAAGTTGAGACACAATAGCCATTGCTTTATTTACTTGTTTAGCGCTGATAGTCATGTACATGTTCCTTAAAATTAAATGCAGACTATGCATTGAAGTAGAGGAGGTGAGCTTTTCATAACAAGAAAAGATTGTTTCGAGGAATGGAGGACGGCCTTGACAAAATTTGTTTGGCAAGGAAAGAAACCTTGCATTAAACACAAACTACTGATAGACAGGAGAGAGAGGAGGATTCGCATTACCAAATTTCAAAATCTATTATGAAGCCAAGTGTCTAATTTGGATTAATGACTGGATTCTATTGGAAAAATTAGATATATTGGACCTAGAGAGCTTCAACAACAGATACGGGTGGCATGCCTATCTAGGATACAACAAAGTAAAAGTCCACAGAGGTTTCACCAATCACATCTTTAGGAGCGCTTTGTATAAGGTGTGGACAACTTGCCAACCGTTATTGGAACTGCATACACCATGGTGGCTGTCACCATAAGAAGCTTTTTCAGTTAAAAAATTAAATATGACAGGGAATTGGGCAACATACAGTGGTACCTCGGTTTACAGACGCTTCAGGTTACAGACTCCACTAACCCAGAAATAGTACCTCAGGTACTTTGCTTCAGGATGAGAACAGAAATTGTGCGGCGGCGGCGCAGCGGCAGTAGGAGGCCCCATTAGCTAAAGTGGTACCTCAGGTTAAGAACAGTTTCAGGTTAAGAACGGACCTCCGGAACGAATTAAGTTCTTAACCTGAGGTACCACTGTATAGTCAATTAGCAAGAGAAGAACAAGGCCAACTGAAGTTAAAAGAATTTGAGGAAATAAGGCACCATCTCACAGACTGGCTTCAATACTACCAATTAAACAATGTCTTTACTTTGTATAAAAAAATCAGGCTTTGGAAAGGAAGAATCGAAACTACAAAAAGTATTATTAAGAAACAAAAAAAAAAAATTAACTAAAGTATACGATTTATTATTAGAGTAGGATTTAAAAGATGAACAAATAAGAGAAGTACAGGTCAAATGGGCCCAAGATATCAGACATGCAATCCAATTAGACCAGTGGGAAAGAAATTGATATAAGATTCACCGCCTGTTATTCCATAAAAGAGAATATCATGAAGATGTTTTACAGGTAGCATATGACACCATCAAAGATTGCCAAAATATACAAGACAAAATCCATCTTTGCTGGAAATGCATGGAAGTAGAAGGTACTATGATACAGTTATGGTGGGGCTGCGAAAAAAGAAAAAAAAGAAAAAAGGAGTTGCATCCATGAGGAACTAAAAAAGATGTTCAGAATCCCTTGGGGGGGGGGGGGCTGAGGTATTTTTATTGAGTATAATAGGAAATGAGGTACCCCAAGATAGAAAAAAAATATTTCTGCAGTAACCTGCAGCAGCCAGGTTACTACTTGCAAAGAATTGAAAAGGAAATTATACTCACAAAAGAGGATTGGTTATATAAATTATCTGAATTTATAGAATTGGCGAAATTAACTGCAGCAATAAGATATCAAACAAATCAGAAATTAAGGTCACAATGGATATGGTTTGAAGAATATATGAGTAAACACTGCTCTAAAGACAGCATGCTGCTATGTTTAGACTAAGCTGTAAAGCTGATCTAGAAAAAATAACAGTTTAATAAGAGAAGTAAGGTAGAGATACATGAATTGCAATGCAAATAAGAACTTTAAAGTAAGAAAGATGATGAGCACTGGCAGAGGGAAGCCATATGGGTGTGTTATTATTTACCTATTTTATGTATTTTTCTCTTTCCCTTACCTTTTCTCCCTTTTTTGTCTGTAAGTGTATGTGCATTACTGTTTTGTATGCATGTCTAAATAAAAAATTATTTTTTTTTTAAAAAATGGCAAATTAAAATTATTATTATTATTAAATGTAGTTATTCCTACTCTGAAGTGAGACCCATTGAGTCCTGTGGGGCTTGTTCCCATGTAGGTGTATATTGGAGCATTCATTGGTACTATGGCACCCTGAACTAAGCCAAAATTTGGCATTCCCCCCAACTCCAATGCTATCCTGAGCTTTGGGAAGAAGGTGCAAGGGGTCTGCCAGGATACTAGAGTCCTCTCACCTCCTTCCCAAAGCTGGCCAGATGC